ATATATATATATATATATATATATATATAAAATATATAAATATAAATATATATATAAATAATATATATATATATATATATATATATATATATATTCTCTTGTAATTAAGATTTATATTAAAAATTTGTAATTAAGCTTTATATTATATTTAAAATTCTAATAATTATATATCTTAAATTTCCTACTCAAACTTCCCAATTAAATGTGTAATGTTCTTTTTATTAACCAACATTAATTCTTAGTGACTGGATATCTGAGACCCTGTCTTCTAGGTCGATATTCATAATGGGAGAATTAACATAGAGCCTTGTCACTTACTCTAATTGCGGCGATTCTCCCGTTTTCAATATGAAAACCACAGCAGGGCTTACCTGAAACATAACGAGGCAGTCGATTAAGAAAGAATTATTATCGGAAAAACCTTTTTAACGCGAGCAGTGGGGAAAAAGTTTACGGAGAAAATATTGCAGTAAAAATTACAATGAAATTTCTGTAATCTTGGAACATACAGAATTATAACCAAAATTACTATGTATTTGCTTGAAAATGTTATGCACGTTTGACATTTTACTACACAATTATCGTAATTACTTGAATGTTGTTTATATCGTATTCCAGAAACGGAGTAGATCATCAAATTTACTATTTATATAGTAATTTAAATTACAATTCTAGTGTAGTGTGTTCAGTTTTTTGCAAATAAACATTAGAAAGAGGAAAATGACTTTGATGTAATTTTTGCTACAATATTTTTTCCATATATGAAGAATATATATGTATACCGCATTTAACATCCAAAGCAACTAAATATGAAACATTGTCCCTGTTGATTCCGGCAATACAGAGATCCTTGAATCAGAGTCTGGCCATAGTTATGGTTTTGTCAAATCCTACGAGAGAGAAGGACATATTTTCAATCTCTCTCTTTGTCTATCTCTCTTTAACCTAATTTACTGTAATAAGAGTCTATCTCTCCTTAACCTAATTTACTGTGATTGGATATTGTATGTAATTGGATTTGACAAAACATGACCGACCAATCAAAAACCTGGGTCAAACTCTAATTCAAAGATTAATATTATATTCGCGCGGACAATGTCCCGTGGAAATAATCATTTCCTTTGGGGCATTTTCCCTCGACTTCTAAATAAACATCGTGCGAAACGCAAGTGCGCCGTTTTCCCGGGCTTATCATTATCAGCATCACAATGACCGCGCATTGTAAAGAATAATCCGCGCGATCCTGCATACTCTTAACATTCCTTTATTCTAAAGGCAAAATTGTTTCACTCGCCGCGTAAGATTACCTGGAAGAGCGAGGGTGCCTTTTATCTTCTACATCCTATGCGAAATAAGATCCAATGACGGGGAAGCTTTGCTCGAACGGTGTCGTAAGTCTTAACGCGTGGGGACGTGATATGATTTCGAGAGTTAGGCTCCCAGCCTAACTCTCGAAGAGAAACTCGACGCGAGCGTTTTCGCAAGCCAGGAAAACGATACGCGTCGCTCGAAACGGCTTATTGTTAATTTATAGTATATCGCGCATGTATATAAATTTATATATATTATATACATGTATAATGTTTGCACGCTGGACTCGACGATTTAACGTTTCTGGCACGTCGAGTCGCATTACCGGTGTCCGGAAGCGGCGATAAATTTATAGGCTGCGGGCGCATCACTATGAATAATAATATAATATTAGCCAGGCCATGCGCGTACTCTCTCTATTATGAGACTGGAGAATTGGCAGTTAATTAGGCCGCCGAGCGGCAGCATTAATTACGAAAACGATAATGGATATAACACACAAAGCCGTGGCCACTGATGACGTCTCGGTTAAGATGAGCACGCGATTCGTGGCTGTGGAAAATCGTTATACGTGGGAACATGGTGATAAGTGCAATATCACGCCACTGTTTCGCAACGAATAAATCAAACGAGCACTTTCATCGTGGTCGCGGGATACCTCGTTACGCGGGAACGCGATGACAAGTCTGATGCAGCACATCTCTGTTTGTTGCGCAACAATTAAGTAAAATAATTATTCCCGTCGTCGAGAAGGAATAAAGTTGCGACAGTCAAATAAACACACAAATACACACGCACACAACTGATAAATAATATATAACATTTTTATTATTTATTATATATGTTTTTTAATTGAATAATCGCGGAAAATTCTACAATGGAAAAAGTATCGCAGTTGAATTTATACGAACACACAAAATTCTTAGAATACAACCCCTGCTTTCGTTATTGCAGCCAGTTTGGGTTCAGCTTCTTGCGAGTAAGAATAACGGAGCAGCAAGAACAACAGTCGAGTGAACTTTGTACGTACTTTTTCGTTAGCAATTATTTCTCCCGCTGGCTGTATCTACATAAAAAAGACATTCAAAGCACATCCGCCGCTGCAGCTGGATTTATATCATTAGGCGGCGCTTACGTATTTGTTACCCGTATCTCGTGAGCTGCGATTTTATCTGATCCGGAAATATCGAACCGCGGATAGCACACGGGCCACAAAAGGCACGTTGGAAACGTGCTATGCCACGGAACGACGCTTTATGGGTCGTTTCTCATGGGCAAACGATGTTTAAAGATCAAGGAAACGGCCCCATCGGGAACCGATGCGCACCGTCCGATCGAGCGCGAATAACGAATGAATACCTAACGACGTTTTACGACCCAATATGTGTCCTCTTCGGTCAAATTCGCCGTACACGGTGTTTCAGAATGACAGGCAGTGATTGAACTGGCTGACAGAACTCTCGCAAAGTCAAACAGGAAAGTCGCCATGAGCATAGATTGGCGAACTAATCGTCCTCGAGGCATTCAGCATTTCATTTCGTAATTTATATGTTCGTTTTATGGTGTTCTCCAAACACTTCATTTTATATATATATATATATATATATATATATATATATATATATATATACACACATATATAATCATTGTATCACAAGACGATATAAAATATTAATTTTCAATGTGTGTGTAAGAACTCAAAAGAAAGATGAAGTTAAAAATTAAACAAACAAATTTTCCTGTTCCGTTTAAGCTTCTAAATCTACGAAATATATATATTATATGTATTATAGTATATATTACAAAATATTGTGTATTATGTTATCAAATTATCTTATGTAATAGTATATATTGCCAAAAATATTATTGTTTATTGCAAAAAATTATGCAAAAGCAATATTTTTGTAAATATTATATTATGTTTTATATTATATATATATATATATATATATATATATATATATATATCATATTATAAAATATTATATATTATTATCATATTATATTATATAACAATATATATATATCGAACATTATATTGAATTAAATAAAAACAAAAATGTTTAAGATATAGTACAGTCTCCGCTTATTTGTACAATCTTTACCATTCCTATATTCTTCTAACACCAAAATATAAAAATTGGGAAATTAATATTCTTAAATCTCATGGATTTGTACCAGGAAAACGTTATGAAGAAGGTATTTTATATTCTCGCAGAAACTTCTGTTACCTCTTCGCCTATTATATTCTCCTGATACTAAAATCTGAAAATTTTAAAATTTGGCGCGCAGTCCAAATCGGTCCGCTGGATTGCTGGCGTGAGATGACGGTCATTAATTACAATATATAATGTAATACAAAATACAATCTTCCTGTATGAGGTCAGTATATTTATAATTATAAATTAATTACAATCCTATCGCGTTGGCGCGTGTAACAGTCGTCGATGTAACTGATTGGCTATGTATTTGGATGTCAATCCTGCTAATATCGCCATAAATATGATGATATTATATTTTAATGATAAATATGATAATGTGAATTTAATTGGATGAGAGTTGTGGTTGATGTTTGGCAGTCGTAAAGGTCGCTCAAGCATTTGTGACGCTGTTGCTTTGTCCGGTCATCCTGTACACGTCGTGACAATTCGTCGTACTATGTGGTGCTTCAAGTCACATACAAGAGTTATAAAAATTTGATGGACAAAATAGCCCCGTCCTTCTCCACGCCGTCTGCATTTAATTTTCTGGAACTCGTAAACGGGCGCTGCGCCGCGTTTACCCGGAGCGTTATGACAATGCATAGTAAATCCCCGTCTCCAAACGGTGGCTCGTAAAATTTATGATAAAGGCCGCGAGAGTACTAGCTATTTGTCGATGCCTACGCGATTCACGCGACTGCCCTTCGACGCCGTGCAGTACGTTCGTAAGCTTACTAAAAGGTCGATCATTATCCGCCATCCCGAAGAATAAACGAGAAATGGGCGCATTTATCACGCGTGTTTTTACGACGGAATATCGCGCGCGACGCGGCGGCGGCGATCACTTTGTGATTCATGAACCACTGCGAGTGAGTCCGCTAAAAGTCACTTGTCTCCCGGGATGGCTATCTGAACGGAGGATTGACTTCTCCGCTCTGATCCATCCACCACTGATAACGCGCTTCCGATACGTCGTTACGGCGAAATAATCGCTGATAAGGGCCGGCGGTGGCCCTGAGGCGATCGTAAAAATATCGCCGCCATCAGTGCGCGCGGATTAAGCGAGTTACAATATTTTAGCGCGCCGTATAATTCGTTTATTACGCCGTAAAGAGTGTGTAATAAATTTTTATTTGTCGCGCTCTCTTATCGCGCGGCTCGCACATACACACACATGTTCACCAAATGATGCATTCAGTTTTGTCAAGCCACACAGAGGAAAATATCATTCTACTGCTGAGGAAAGCAATTTTTCAGATTATTTTCGTTCTTTTAACCCGGGAGTGGGCGCGTTAACGGGATTAACGTTAATGGGCGCATATCGGCCATTTCGACCGAAATATATTTAAGCACATATATGTATAATAATTAAGTAATAATTGATAAATTATCAATCCAATTATTAAAAGAAACATAATAATTGAAGGAAATAATCTTATTACATTACTATTTCTTCTTTTTCCGCTCTTTTTTTTCTTTACCATTTCTATATCTAATATGTTTAGGAAATATATTAAACTCATTGTACAAATTAAACTTATTATACATATACTTATTATAATATATGTGAATATATTAAAAATAAAATTATAATATTTTTATTTTAACTACATTAGTAAAAAATGACATTCTTTTAGCTTAATAAAATAAAAAAAGAATTTCTTCTCTCATTTTGCTTTGATTAACTTAAACATTGATTTAATAAATTTAAAAATTGATTTGATAAATTTAGAAATAGAGAATAAATCTTCTTGATTCAATGGCAATATTAAAACTGTTACATTATATATTGTTTCAGTAATTCAAGTATTAATTCAGTAATTCAAGTATTAATTTTAATAATATCGCTATTGAATCAA